GAATCCTCGGTATGGTAAAAAATGTAAAACACATAGAAAGCAAGCTATGGGAAGTTGAAAACAATATCCAGCAAGACAAATCCTTAATAATCTACATACACTCCGCCCTTGTAGTTTCAGAACATACACTTTGTTCCGTACATACATTGAAAAATATGAGGAAAAGCTGTTGATATAGAGAAAACAATGAATAAAATCCAGAGGAAAGTAATATTCTGTGAAAAGACAGTACCGTATCATCATTGAACAGAACGGAGGATCTTAATTGACAATTACTTTAAAAATTGCATGTTTCATAGTAATCCACACTCCAAAAGCCTTGTGAAAAAGGTATTTTGATAAACTTAATGGTCAAAATTTTGGAGTTGCACCACAGCAATGTTAGAAAACAACAAGAAGAGGATGACATAAAGGGAGGCCTTTGCTTCCTAGGGGCAAATAGCAGAGTTAAAAGTAACAATAATGTTCCAATTAAGCTAGGATGAACATGATGATGAAAGTTCATCCACAACTCAATTAAACCTTAATTCCTTTCGAGTCAGGATCACTTACACTTCTCCTTTTCCTCCGCTATTTTGTCAATCAACGTGTAGATCAGCAACGTCCTCGATTATAATTCCAGTTTTGGCCCCTCACCACCTCATTTCTTTTACAACTAAACTAAATCATACTTATGCAGTTGAGTATCCCAAGGTCCACAGTGCATACGGCCAAACCATCTAAGTTGTTATTCTCTTATGTTTTAAATTGGCGCCATGTTGACGTTATGAATGACTTTATTTTCATATCCAATTTTTAAAATATGACTGCACATCCCACTTAAAGAACTTGTCCAGTTACAAATATCCAAGAATAATGTTATCTCCCAAATACTGACAACTTGGTACCATATAGCATAAATGGTGGCATACATGATCGCTACATCATCCTTCCACAATTAACATCCTCTTAAAGTTTTCCCTCTTCAGGGGTAATTAAGCCCAAATACCAAAAAATCATCAATTACGAAAACCACACCTCTTTCTAAATAAATTTTATCTTTACCTGGGATTCTAAAATAAATGTTCAAGTTATTCTACACTCTTCTACTTCCAATATATGCCAGTAAGAGTCCATAGTGAAATAAAAAATTACAACCTTAGAGCCTTTGAACCATCAGGGGAAAGAATATTTTTCTTTTCGAAAATACAAATCTTGACTGTATGCAAAAATGTCCCAATAGAAATAAAGAGAAAACAGTTGAATCAACTACAAATGTAAAACTATATGTCTGAAATATCTACCTGGACAAGCCTCATCTGCAATGCCAAATGACAAAGTTCTTATGTGGTCAGCTACAACGCTGTATGCCATGTCAACTTTGTCAACATCATCTGGCCCAACCCTTCTAGAATATGCTGGAGCCTTTGTCTCCTATAAAAAGAGTGAGAATGATGAATTGAATAAGATTTATCCAAGTGTCAATCACATACAAAAGTTTGTAACAAAAACAGCTAAATTAAAACCAAGTCAGAGAAACATATCAGCAAGCTAAAGCATCCTAAAAACCAAAACATGTATGAACTCTAATTAATTCCCTTTTTTTTTTTTTTGAGGAGTAATTTTTGTATCCATTTTTGTTTTGGGGAAAACTTGTGAGATGGTGAGTTTGGAGGGGATTCAGAGGGAATGAGTACTTCAAGTCCATCGAAATTGATTCACAGAAAACTAGGGAATTAAAAAATGTATATATTTTTTATTAAAAAGAAGAGAAAAGTATATTAATTTATGTGTTGCTTCATAAATATATACATACATACATACATACATACATACATATGATAAATATTCATATATATATATATATAAGTTTTATATACGTTATATTTATATAAAATTTTGATTATTTATCTTTTTATTTTTAAAAGTTGAATTTATTTATTTTTTATTATATTTATTAAAAATAATTATATTTTGTATTTAACAAATTATAATAAAATTTAACAATTAAAAGTGAAAACTAAATAATCAAAATTTTATATAAATATAATATATAAAATTTATGTTGAAATGAATCATTACTATATATGTGTATGTTTTGCGGTAGTTCAGTGGATATATTTATTGTGTTTCCATGTATGCATTTTTTAATTTTTCTTAAATTTTATTATTTTTATTAAATTCAAGAATTTTATTACAAATACTTAATAAAACTCAAGTTATAATAAATGTCTGTTATTGTTACTTAAATTTTTACATTATAAATCTTAAATTTGAATTTTAAATGAGTTGAGAGGGGTTATATAACTCATTATCCAACATAAAAAAAAAAAATATCTTCTTATTAGATAGATATTCAATTTAAATAATAATTAAAAGAGGGTTTAATTTAACAAGAAATTTAATTTTAAATACACAACATTTTAATATATCCAAACAATGTATTTAAATATATATGTATTTGAAATGCTTTTTTTAAAAAAATTAATCCAAATAATGTATTTTAAAATATATGTATTTAAAATTTATATATTTTAAATAAATGTATTTCAAAATATACATATCAAATACAAATATGTGTTTCCAAACACAACCTAAATGTTTTATTCTTTCTTATGTAGTAGGGGTGTTCGCGGTATGATTTGATTCAGATTTTAATATTTTTTAAATCAATCCAATTTAATCGGTTAATAAAATTTTTAAACCAATTCAATCCACTATTATATGATAATCAAACCAATTCAACTTAAATCAGATCGGTGTGGTTCGATCGAATTGATTGGTTTTTAATATTATTAAATATATAAAATAATTT